ATAACCCTATGTATGTATCTAGTTCGTTTTTATTGGTTTTATCAGAGAATAACATAATGGTACAAAAAGTTCAACATCCATTTCTTGGTCAACCAAGACATATAGTAATGGTTGCAAATAGGTTTCAGAGAACAACAAACGGACTGGAATAAACTTTTATTATTCGGTTGAGTAACAAGGCTGGATCCTGTATAGGACCTGAGGACACTGAAAATTGCAATTACAAAATCATCAAGAGGACAATATTAGATCAATGTAAGTTGTACAATAAGCCATGTAATTCTTTGGACCTTCACTCACCCTTCCCTGATTTATAGAGAAGTCGCACAGGACTAACAGCTGCCTGAAAGTTAAACCAACATATGGAGAGAAGTGGAAAGAAGGAAAAATAGAGGAGACAATGAGGAGAAAAAAAAGGGGGGGTGGTGGCAAAATTTAAGACGTGCATCCTCTGTCCACTTTGCAAGTGTCCCTCCATCCCGATCAGGAGGGTCCTGAAAGATATTTTATCCAGGGATCCCAGGTTTTCTCGAGATAGGCCAGTCTATCATGGAAATTAGCCGCCATGTGTTCATTGATCATATTCCATGTTAGTTTGGCCTTTAGGAGTTCAAAGGGTTGAAATTCTTGCAGCAGTTAAGATACATGCAATCAGGCATCTAACATTATCAGGTATACCCTCCACCGGCCTTCCTAAAGGGGCCTGCTGTGGGGTTTTGGTTAGATTCACCTGGGTGAGGGAGTAGATGAAGTTATATGTGTGGATCCAAAACTGCTGTACTTTAGTTCTATTGTATATTTAGTTCTAAATATAGTGACCTAACGGTTACACTGCCTTGTAGCATGTGAGCCATCTGTTCAAATCCCGGCCAGGACACTTTCTGCATGTTCCACCTGTGCTTGTGTGAGTTTCCTCCCACATTCCAAAGACATGCTGGTAGGTTAATTGGCTCACTTGGCCCCCAGTATATTTTTGCATACAGAGTATGTATGCATGTCATAGTGAACCCAGATGGTAAGCTCCTTGAGGGCAAGTACTGGTGTGAATGTATAATATGCACTTTGTAAATTGTAACAAAATTGTTTATTTTTGGATTGCAGTTTTTAAATTTTTTTTTTTTTTTTTTTTTAATATTGTACACACCAATTTGATATTATATGTAAAACTTTATTTCTACTGCATCAATATACAATGCAGTCCCTGGCCTTTAACCCCTTGCCCGCAACCCTATAGGAGAAGTACTGCTACAGGGCAGCAGGGCTGTGCAAAATCACATATTTATACGTGATTGCATTTCTGGGTAGGGGGCGAGCACCAGCCGCTATTGGTGGCTAGGGATGTCAATCACCAGGTCCGGGCCAGCACTGAGTTCGTCGGGTAAAGCTGACAGGGGAGAGACCTGTGTGTAAACACAGGTCTCTCTCCTGTCAGCAAGGACATGCTGCTTTGTATTTCTCTACACAGCTGAGAAATACAAAGCAGCATGTCTCTGTAGTAAAACACACACACAGCACTTAATGTAAAATCCTCACAGCACATAGTTAACCCTTTGTTCACCCCAGATGTTAACCCCTTCCTTCCCATTGTCATTAGCACACCGTCAGTGTTTTTTTTTTTTAGCACTGATCACTGTATTGGTGTCACTGGGGATGTCAGTGGCAGTTAGTTCCCACCCAGTGTTAGAATGCCCGCTTCAGTGGCGCTATAAGTCAAGTCACTCATCACCGCCATTACTAGAATAAAAAAAAATATAATTCTAGTATATATACCACCATTTATAGACGCTATAACTTTCAACCAATTCATTTACACGTATTGGGATTTTTTTTTTCTAGCAAAGACATGCAGTAGAATACATTTTGGCCTAAATTTATGAAGAAATTAGATTTTTAAAATTTTTTTACTGGATGTGTTTTATAGCAAAAAGTAAAAAATATTGTTTTTTTTTAATCAAAATTGTCAGTCTTTATAGAGCAAAAAATAAAAAAAATGCCGATCAAATACCACAGTATCTCACAGAAGTGAGTTCCACCCCTCACATTTTTGTAAATATTTTATTCTATCTTTTCATGTGACAACACTGAAGAAATGACACTTTGCTACAATGTGACGTAGTGAGTGTACAGCTTGTATAACAGTGTAAATTTGCTGTCCCCTCAAAATAATTCAACACACAGCTATTAATGTCTAAACTGCTGGCAACAAAAGTCATCACTGCCTTAACCCTCTTGGACATGTAGTTCACCAGAGCTTCACAGGTTGTCACTGGAGTTCTCTTCCACTCCTCCATGATGGAGCTGGTGGATGTTAGAGACCTTGTGCTCCTCCACCTTCAGTTTGAGGATGCCCCACAGATGCTCAATAGGGTTTAGGTCCAGTGACATGCTTGGCCAGTCCATCACCTTTACCCTCAACTTCTTTAGCAAGGCAGTGGTCGTCTTGGAGGTGTGTTTGGGGTCGTTATGTTGGAATACTGCCCTGCGGCCCAGTCTCCGAAGGGAGGGGATCATGCTCTGCTTCAGTATATCACAGTACATGTTGGCATTCATGGTTCCCTCAATGAACTGTAGCTCCCCAGTGCCAGCAGCACTCATGCAGCCCCAAACCATGACACTCCCACCACCATGCTTGACTGTAGGCAAGATACACTTGTCTTTGTACTCCTCACACGCTTGACACCTTCTGAACCAAATCAGTTTATCTTGGTGTCATCAGACCACAGGACATGGTTCCAGTAATCCATGTCCTTAGTCTGCTTGTCTTCAGCAAACTGTTTGTGGGCTTTCTTGTGCATCATCTTTAGAGGAGGCTTCCTTCTGGGACGACAGCCATGCAGACCAATTTGATGCAGTGTGTGGCATATGGTCTGAGCACTGACAGTCTGACCCCCCCACCTCTTCAATGCTGGCAGCACTCATTCATCTATTTCCCAAAGACAACCTTTGGATATGACTTCTTTGGTCGACCATGGCGAGGCCTGTTCTAAGTGGAACCTGTCCTGTTAAACTGCTGTATGGTCTTGGCCACCGTGCTGCAGCTCAGTTTCAGGGTCTTGGCAATCTTCTTATAGCCTAGGCCATCTTTATGTAGAGCAACAATTCTTTTTTTCAGATCCTCAGAGAGTTCTTTGCCATGAGGTGTCATGTTGAACTTCCAGTAACCAGTATGAGAGAGTGAGAGCGCTAACATTCACACCTGAGACCTTGTAACACTAACAAATCATGACACCGGGGAGGGAAAATGGCTAATTGGGCCCAATTTGGACATTTTCATTTAGGGGTGTACTCACTTTTGTTGCCAGCAGTTTAGACATTAATGGCTGCGTGTTGAGTTATTTTGAAGGGACAGCAAATTTACACTGTTATACAAGCTGTACACTCACTGCGTAACATTGTAGCAAAGTGTCATTTCTTCAGTGTTGTCACATGAAAAGATGGAATGAAATATTTACAAAAATGTGAGAGGTGCGCTCACTTTTGTGAGTGTGTGTGTACATACATACATATATACATACACACACACACACGTGATTTTGCACAGGAGGGCCACCCTGCAACAGTAAAAATGCTATAGGGCAGACAGCAAGTGGTTAAAGAGAAAATACTGCTGACAAACCAATATATCTATGAGTGTCAATCTCCTGTAGCCCACAATGGTTAATTCAGCCAACCTCCCTATCACTACTGTGTCCTTTGGTGACAGAGCGGCATCCAGTGGTGCAGGCAGTCAGACAGACACATGCTTGTGGCATATTTTTTTTTTTTTTAACCACTTCCCGTCCAGCCCCTGTACATAAATGGCCAGATGGGAGCAGGGCAAGTGAGGGTTGCCGTCTATAAACGGCGTCTGCATTAACAGCCTGTGCGCACTCCCTGGGAGTGCGCAGCACCCGCGATGCGGTGCCCGCTGTGTCTGGAGGACACAGTGGAACACCGATCATTGTACGGGACCTCCCATGAGGTCCCGATTCATGTCATCACAGATTGGCCAATCAGTGATCACATGAATAGTAGTAAGCAAGATATCACTTTCTGACATCATTGCTTACTATGTGTGAAATATCTGAATGATCACAGAGGTCACATGGTACAAGGCTATTCACAACAGCCTTGTATCATGTGACAAGCTGTGACCAATCACAGCTCTTACAGTATTTCTCAATGGCTGCAAGAATGCAGCCAGAGAGCAGGAGAAATGATTGCTTTTACAGCCTTTATGAGTGTAAAAGCAATCAGTGTAAAAAAAAAAATCTTCATCACCCCCATAAGTAGTACAGTGTCACTATGGTGACCCTGTACTGCTAGTGTGACAGTATGTTAAAAAATAAAAATGTAAAAAAATTTTTTTTAAAAAAATTATACATTTTTGGTTATAAACTAATTTGGGTTATTTTTTTTTTTTTTACTAAAAAGGTAACTGAATACATTTTGGCCAAGATTTATGAAGAAAGATTATTTATTTGCAAAATTTTATAAGAAAAATACTTTTTTTTTTCAAAATGTTTGGATTTTTTCATTTATATAGAAAAAAAATAAAAATCCCAGTGGTGAATAAGTACCACGAAAATAAAGTTTTATCTGTCTCAAAAAAATGCTAAAAAATTCATATGGGTACAGTGTTGCTGGTTGGTGTTGGTGAAAATAGGCCTAGACAGGAAGGGGGTGAAAGTGTTCAGACTTGAAGTGGTTAACCTGATTGGGTTGTTTTATGTGCTGTGTTGATGGGCTATATTTTGCTTCAAGCTGCATTCTTAGAAATACATGAAAACTCCTTGAAGATAGTCAGATGCACCTGTCAATAAACTCTAAATGATCTCCTAAGCATCTTAGAGTGATGCTACTGGAAGCCCAAAGCATGGCTCTGCTCACCATCCTAAAATAGGGTATAATGTGTCGCTTAAGATATTCAGGTAATTGATTACTTACATTATACTTTATGCATTTAAATACAAAAATGATTAAGCACTACTTGTACATTATGTGAAATCTCAGTCCTAGGGTCAGTCTTTGGGAAGGGGAATTCCCAATGCAGAATGTTGGCTCAGAGACCTTGCTTCTTCCACTTGCTGTTCAGTGCAGTAATCCTCCAGAAAGATTTTGGCCAAATTGCTAAACCTGCGGTTGTCTGACAAAGAGAAGCGGACCATGCACTCTACAACAGGAGGAGCAGTGATTTCAGCTCTAGAAGCAGCTGTGCACAGGTACATGAGTGCTGTTATGGCAGAAAGAACAGTCTCTTCACGGCAGCTAGATAAACAGTTAATGATAAGACTTGGGCCTCCCGCGGACAAAATGTGATTCTTCATGGCTTTGTCCAGACACAGGTTACAGATGCCACCTTAAAGGAAAGCAGAAAATATCAATTAGTAATGGAAACTTATAGCTGGACTGTCAGGAAATGCTGTAATGGCACTTTAACCTCTTTATTAACCACTTCTCGACCGGCCGTTGTATATAAACGGCCGGACGGTGGCACTGCAGGGTCGTGTGGCCGTTTATAAACGGCCTCCCCGCACCCTGCTTGTGCACGCTCCCCGAGAGCGCGCAGCACCGCAATCCAGTGCCCGCTGTGTCCTCCAGACACAGTGAAACACCGATCGACGGACGAGTGACACTGTACTACTCGGGGGTGATTAAGATTTTTTTTTTTTTTTTTACACTGATTGATTTTACAGCCATATAGGATGTAAAAGCAATCATTTCTCTTTCTCTCTGTCTGCATTCTTGCATCCATTGAGAACTACTGAGTGAGCTGTGATTGGTCTCTGTACGAGGTCCTGATCATGTGATCACTGATTGGCCAATCAGTGATCACATGCAAAGTAGTAAGCAAGATGTCACTTGTGACATTATTGCTTACTACGTGTGAAATCTGTGAATGATCACAGAGGTCACATGGTACAAGGCTATTCACAACAGCCTTGTACCATGTGACAAGCTGTGACCAATCACAGCTCACTCAGTAGTTCTCAATGGATGCAAGAATGCAGACAGAAAGAAAGAGAAATGATTGCTTTTACATCCTATATGGCTGTAAAATCAATCAGTGTAAAAAAAAAATCTTCATCACCCCCCAAAAGTAGTACAGTGTCACTCGTCCGTCAATTGGTGTTTCACTGTGTCCGGAGGACACAGCGGGCACTGGATCGCGGTGCTGCGCGATCCCGGGGAGCGCGCACAAGCAGGGTGCGGGGAGGCCGTTTATAAACGGCCACCCAACCCTGCAGTGCCACCTTCCGGCCATTTATATACAACGGCAGGTCGGGAAGTGGTTAAACACAGTGCAAAAGCATTGTGTGACAGTGCTCTGCTATGTGATGTAAAGTGGAATTAAACCCCAAAAATGTAACATTTGGACAACAGCATTGTTAATCGCTTTCCCGCCACCCTATAGCAGATATACTGCTACAGGGCGGCAGGGGTGTGCATAATATATATATATATGCACATCTCCAGGTAGGGGGTGCACGCGAGTCACGTGGGCACCCTTCCAACATCCCTATTCGCGGCCTCGGCTGTCAATCACCAGGTCCCGGCCAGTGATTACTCATGGGCACCTGGTGATTGAGGAGCATTACCGACGGAGGGAGAGAGTTGTATTTAAACAATACAGTTCTCTCCCGTCAGCTCCTGCACAATGCTTTGCATGGCTCTGCATAGCACAGCCATGCAAAGCAGGGTGCTTACAGTTGAAAGCACTAACACAGCCCATAGTAAAACAGCAGTACAGTTAACCCTTTGATCGCCCCACATGTTAACCCTTTCCTGCCCAGTGCCATTAGTACAGTGTCGGTGCTTGTTATTAGCGCTGATCACTGTATTGGTGTCACTAGAGATGTCAGTGACACCAAGTCAGTTCCCCCCCAGCGTCAGAATGCCCGCCGCCGTCCCGCTATAACTCGCTGATCACTGCCATTACTAGTAAAAATAAATTTAAAAAAAAAATTTAAACCGCCATTTGTAAATGCTATAACTTTCACCTAAACCAATTAATTTATACCTATTGGGATTTTTTTTTTTAGCAAAGACATGGAGCAGAATACATTTTGGCTTAAAATTATGACAAAATTTGATATTTTAAATATTTTTACTATATGTCTAATAGCAAAAAGTCAAAAATATTGTTTTTTTCTCATAATTGTCAGTCTATTTTTTTTTTTATAGCGCAAAAAATTTAAAAACGCACAGGTGAACAAATACCAGTGAAAGAAAGTGAAAAAAAGGATGTAAATTTATTTTGGGTGCAGCGTTGCATGACCGCGCAATTGTCAGTTAAAGTAATGCAGCGCCGTAGCGCAAAAAATGGCCTGGTCAGTAAGGGGGGGGTAAATCCTTCTGTGCTTCCAGACCAATCCCCACAGCGTCCTCTCCCCTATGCTCCAGCGGTGTAAGATTCTGAGGTCATCAAGAGAGGTGCAAAAACCATAACCATGCATTGGATGTGAGGACGCCAGGGAGAGTCCACTGCTAAAACACAGGGGAGCACCGTCTGCCAGGGGGGAGGAAGATCATATAAGTAAAAATGTTTTTTATTTCCCCTAAGACTAAACCGTGGCAGTGTGGACACTGCCCCACTGCAAGAGAGAATGTTGAAGTTTCCCAGAGTTGAGCCTTAAAATGGTAACTGGGACCAAAACGAACCTATTCCAAACTCCACCAGATTTTCATTGTCTTCAGTCAACATGTCCAGAAACATATCTGGAACTTGCAGCTTCTGGAGGTCAGAGAAGTTCTTTGGGTCATAAGAGAAGTTTGCTAGGTTTGCCAGGACCTGTTCTTTGGCTTCTGTGAAGTAAAAGCAGAAGATATACTGTTAAACAACAGACGAAAACAGAAACAGTAAAAGTACCTAAACCATGTTTGAGATCTTCAAAAAAATATGAAGTGAAACTTTAGTTGGCTTGATCTAAAACCGCCAGGATAGAATGCTACAGATGTCACCTTAAAGTCTCTGGGTGGCTGATCTGGTAGCACCTGACCTTACAAGTCTCATCATCTGAGAAGGAAACGTGGGAGGGTGAAAGGCAAGCCTTCCACCAAAACTGAGCCTGCCATTCCAGCACGTATATATATATATATATATATATATATATATATATATATATATATATATATCTATATATATTCATTCACAAACACAATATTACCAAAAGTATTTGGACACCCCTCCAAATCATTGGATTCAGGTGTTCCAATCACCTCCATGGCCACAGGTGTAAAAAAATCTAAAGCTAAAGACCTCCAAGCTTTGTGTGGCCTTCAGATTACACAACAACAGTGCATAGAGAGCTTCATGGAATGGGTTTTCATGGCCAAGTAGCTGCGGCCAAGCCTTACATCACCAAGAGCAATGCAAAGCGTCGGATGCAGTGGTGTAAAGCATGCCGCCACTGGACTCTAGAGCAGTGGAGACGTGCTCTCTGGAGTGACCAATCACGCTTCTCTGTCTGGCAATCCGATGGACGTGTCTGAGTTTGGAGGTTGCCAAGAGAACAGTACTTGCCTGACTGCATTGGGCCAAGTGTAAAGTTTGGTAAAGGGGGGATTATGGCGTGGGGTTGTTTTTCAGGGGTTGGGCTTGGCCCCTTAGTTCCAGTGAAGGGAACTCTTAAAGTGTCAGCAAACCAAGACATTTTGGACAATTTCATGCTCCCAACTTTGTGGGAACAGTTTGGGGATGGCCCCTTCCTGTTCCAACATGACTGCGCACCAGTGCACAAAGCAAGGTCCATAAAGACATGGATGAACAAGTTTGGGGTGGAGGAACTTGACTGACCTGCACCGAGTCCTGACCACAACCCGACAGAACACCTTTGGGATGAATTAGAGTAGAGACTGCAAGCCAGGCCTCCTCATCTGTCATCAGTGCCTGACCTCACAAATGTGCTTCTGGAAGAATGGTCAAACATCCCCATAGACACTCCTAAACCTTGTGGACAGCCTTCCCAGAAGAGTTGAAGCTGTTAAACCTGCAAAGGGCGGGCCAACGCAATATTGGACCCTATGGACTAAGACTGGGATGCCATTAAAGTTTCATGTGTGTGTAAAGGCAGGCGTGTGTATATATATATATATATATATATATATATATATATATGTAGGTTGTTTTTAAACATCTTGGAGAACTAAGCGCAGATCTTCTGAGGATGTAGGCTGCCTCCAATCCTTCTGTCTCTTCAGGTAATCCCAGACAGACTCCATGATGTGGAGATCAAGGCTCTGTGAGGGCCAAACCATCACTTCCAGGGGACTCCTTGTTCTTCATTACACTAAAGATAATTCTTAAAGTATAAGTTCATATTTCAGAACATGTTAAATCCATATTCAGGGCGCAACATGTAGCATGTTACAAACAGCCAGCCCCCCGTACTCCCCCGTTGTCACAATCTTAATGTGTCCGCACGGGGCTCCGCATTCTGTGAATGACAACACTACAAGGTGTGCCTTTGCAGCTGTCGGCTTGTAGTTCTCAATGAACTGCCACGGCGCTGTGATAGTTCATTGAGTCTTCCTGTCGGTATCTGTTTTCCTGTAGCATGTATGGGCACACGGATACAATAACAGATCTGCAGGAGAGCTGCATTGCTCCAGAGATCTGCTGATCGGTGGTGCAATGCTTTAGAGGCCCCAGAAACAAATAATAATAAATGCACATTTTTTTTAACCTGCAAAAAAATGTGCATGTATTATTGTTTTGTTAAAAGGTGAACTTATACTTTACTGACATTGGCTGTATGTTTGGTGTCCTGCTGCAGAATAAATATGGGGACAATCACACACCTCCCTGATGGTATGGCATAATTGATAAGTATCTACCAGTATTTCTCAGCATTGAGGGCACTCTTGATCCTTAACAAATCTCCTTTGCAGAAATGCAGCCCTAAACTTGCAAGGAACCTCCACCATGCTTCACAGTTGCCTGCAGACATTCATTATTGTACCGCTCTCCAGCCCATCAGGAACAAACTGCCTCCTGCTACAGCCAAATATTTCACATGTTGACTCATCAGTCCAGAACATCTGATGCTATATTTCTGCACCCCACTTTTGCATAGTTGAGTCGCTTAGCCTTGTTTCCAGGGCCTATGCGAGAAAACATAAAAACTGGGGTGCAGAAAAATGGCAGCAGATGCTCTGGTCTGATGAGTCAAAATGTGAAATATTTGGCTGTAGCAGGAGGTAGTTTGTTCCTGAAGGGCTGGAGAGCGATACAATGAGTGTCTGCAGACAACTGTGAAGCATGGTGGAGGTTCCTTCTCAGTGCTGAGATACTTATCCAGCATGTCCTACCATCAGGGAGGTGTGTGATTGGCCCCATATTTATTCTGCGGCAGGACATGAAGCACTATCTTCAGTGTGAAGAATAACAAAGAGTCCTGGAAGTGATGGTTTGGCCCCCACAGAGCCCTGGTCTCCACATCATCGATTCTGTGCAGCTTTCAGGGGTCCCGGAACAGCACATTACCTATACTATCCGTGTCCTGGAACTCAGTGACCAGAGCCTGCAGGTACTGGAACCGCTCCGCGCCTGCGCACTGCCCGGCACTCATCCTCCAGTCCTCCTCCGGCGTCCATGCAACCAGGAGATACCGGCGGAGGTGACGTCAAAGCACACTGGCGGAAAGATCTCTAACACGTGACCAGAGTACGGGCAGAGATGAGTGACAGTATAGTTACAGTATGAGACGGCCTGTGCAGCATGTAGGTATTGTTTATACAAACTTCCAATGTGTTTTGTTCGGATTCATTTGTATGAAATGCCATTTCCGGTACTAGGTGTACGCTCCTGTTAGACAGCACCGCCATCTAGTGTCACTTGTGAGAAGTACAGGCAGCGTGTCACAGTGTGAAGCCGGCCGGGTAAAAGCCGGAAGAGCCCCGCCCATCTCTGATCCTGAGGTGAAGGCATCCGGGTTGCTGCCTCTGCTTCCACTGTGCAGACTTCCGCTCACTTCCTGCTCTGGTGACACTGACATAGGAAGTAAAGAAACAGGCCTACAATCCTAATAAAAATACAAACTTTTATTCATTAGTAATAGAAAAGGGTAACTCCCTAGCCACCACCACCTCCCCCTCTAGCTCCTTGTTTTTGATGTGCCCCCTTTGGAGATTTCCCCTCACTTCCTGTACTGATCATAATGTTACGTGTGCAAAAAGTATAAAGGAATCACCTCAGTGAGGCCCAGAAAAAATAAAAACCTGACACGTTTGCTAACCTTCCCCCCCATATGAAAGACAGGTTTCATCTGGAGCTTTACCCTCCACAGTACATACACTGCCTCACAACGTACCCTGCCTGCCTGCTCTGCTGTGATTGAACATGGCGGGACATATACATATCAGCATGGATGTCACATCATTACCTGAAACTCAATCTTTCAAAACCGAGCTTTACCGACTTTACCATTAACCTCTTCACGCCGGCCGCACGCAAATGTGCGGCCTCCCAGCGTCTGGGCCTAGACGCCGAGCGGCCGCACATTTGCGTTCATGTAACAAAAAACATATGTGCTGAAAGGGTGCACCCTGCGCGCTCCCAGCACACATGTGCGGTACTCATGGAAAGGTCCCGGTCCGCTCTTTCGGACGGGACCTTTCCCGATCATGTGACCGGCCGTGACGATGACATCATGGCGGCCACATTACACTAAGCCACGCCCCATCCTGCCCACCTCCCGGCGCAGGAACGCCTCTTCACGCCGGGACGATCCGGCATGAAGGGGTTAAGATCAACAGCACAACCATTGGTCCTTCCCCTCATGCCAGGGTGCTAGGCGTAATCCTAGACTCTGACCTCTCCTTTGGGCCCCACATCCAATCACTGGCTAAATCCTGCCACCTCAACCTCCGGAACATTTCCAAAATCCGCCCCTTCCTGACCAATGACACCACAAAACAACTTATCCACGCCTTGGTTATATCCCGCCCATGATTACTGCAACTCCCTCCTCACTGGTCTACTGTTACACAGGCTATCCCCCCTTCAGTCTATTATAAATACTGCTGCTAGACTCATACACCTTACCAACCGATCAGCAACTGCTGCCCCTTCAATCTGCCAATCAGCGACTGCTGCCCCTCTCTGCCAATCAGCGACTGCTGCCCCTCTCTGCCAATCAGCGACTGCTGCCCCTCTCTGCGTTGGGTTGGCTTCCACTAACCCAACGTATACAATTCAAACTACTAACCACAGCTTACAAAGCCATCCACAACACTGCCCCTAGCTACATCACCAACCTCATCCACAGATATCGCCCAAATCGCCCACTCCGCTCCTCCTATGATATCCTCCTCTCTAGCTCCCTCATCACCTCCTCCCACGCTCACCTCCAGGACTTCTCCAGAACCTCTCCCATCCTCTGGAACTCCCTACCACAGCATGTCCGGTCAGCCCCCACCCTGTCTGCCTTTAGGCATCTTTGAAAACTCACTTCTTCAGGGAAACCTACCCCACCTCCACCTAAGAACTGTACTTGAATCACCTCCACCAGATCATCCCCCACAGCTATCACCTTTTGTATCACCTCCCCCTTCCTGTAGATTGTAAGCTCCCATGAGCAGGGCCCTCCTATTCCTTCTGTACTGAAATGTATTGTAATTGTATTGTCTCCCTTATATTGTAAAGTGCTGAGCAAACTGTTGGCGCTATATAAATCCTGTATAATAATAATGCAGGCCATACATGGGTCGAATTCTGAACAAATTTTCTTTAGAAAATTGGAAATTTTGTGCGTTTTGTAATGCGATGGTGCCACCTTTGATTTTGAAATTTGACCAACCAAGCCTCCAATTTCACCTCATGTAGCTACAGAAAATAATTTTCACGGCCAAGAATTTTCTTTTCTTTCCAGGTCACAGCTCATGTTCATTTCTTTAGCAGGCCATAAATGGGTCGAATTCGAAACGATTTTTCGATTGAAAATCGAAAACATCGTTCGTTCTGTAATTTGATGGTGCCACCAATCATTTAGAAAATCGGTAGTTTTTCATGAATTTTCCAGCATGCCCGATAAATGAAATGGGGAGGAGCAACGAAAATTGGTCGGTGTCATTGCCCCACTAACAGAGCACAAATCAGCTGATTATTCTTAGGTCCGATTTTAAAAATGAAAAATCGTTTGCAAATCGACCCATGTATGGCCGGCCTTTTTCGTTTATATTTCCTACATGATTGTCCCATCATTGATTTGAACTTCATTCGGTTTTCCAAAAATTTCCAACATGCCTGATCATTCAAATTCCATGGTCACACGAAAATCGGCCGTTTCTGTGACCCACTAATGGTGCGAAATTCAAACGAAAATTCTTAGAAAAGATTTTCTAAAGAAAATTCTTTCGGAATTCGACCTGTGTATGGCCAGCTTTATGCAGGCCATACATGGGACGAATTCCGAATGAGCTTTCTTTAGAAAATTGGAAATTTAGTGTGTTTTGCAATGCGATGGTGCCACCTTTGATTTAGAAATTCAACCAACCAAGCCTTCAACTTCTCCTCATGTTGCTACAGAAAAGAATTTTTGTGGCCAAGAATTTTCTTTTCTTTCCAGGTCACAGCTTTATATGCAGGCCATAGATGGGTAGAAAATCGGCCGATCTTTTTACCGATAAAAAAAAATCTGCGCATGAGCCGTGACCTGGAAGAGGAAGGAAGGAAGAAGAAAGAAGAAGAAGAAAGAAGAATTCCAGTCCGCTATTATATTTGACATGAAAAAGTATTGTGGTTGCAATAATGTATCTATTTGTATCCAAATAAAAAACATCTGTATCCGAAATGGATACATTGTTGCAACCACAATACTTTTTCATGTCAAATATAATAGCGGAGCTCTCTGCAGGGACAGAGTAATTAAATGCCGGCCATAGACGGGACGAAAATCAGACAATTTTTTTTTACCGTTGGTGGTAACGTCGGCCTATTGAACGACCGATTTTTTGTTTTTTTGGGTTTTTTTTTTTGTAAAAAACAGCTGGTTTTTGACCCATCTATGGCTTACTATATTTCTTGCACGATTCTCTCATCATTGATTCGAAATGCGTTCGTTTTTAAAAAAATTTACAACATGCCCAATCACTCAAATTCGCTGGTCACACGAAAATCGGCCGTTTTCTGTGGTGTGAAATTCGAACGAAAATTCTTAGAAAAGATTTTTGAAAGAATATTGTTTCGGAATTTGACCTGTGTATGGCCGGCTTTATTCAGCAGGTGCCAGCCAATGATTCATGGCCGGGACCTTCTGATCGGTTGTGTCCAATCACAGCCCAGAGCTCTGTGTTGAAAACAACACAGGGCTCTGTACAGAGGGGAAGGTCTCTGTGTTTCTTCTGCCTGCACAGCAATCTTTAGTAAAAGCAGCACACATGACACATTGTTAGGCACACACTTAACCCTTTGATTGCCCCTAGATGTTAACCCATTCCCAGCCATTAGTATAGTGCCAGTGTAAATTATTAGCACTGATCACTGTATTGGTGTCACTAGTGATGTCAGTGGCAGTTAGTCAGTTCCCACAAAGTGTCAGTTAATCACTTGCCATCCGGAAGATTTACCCCCTTCATAACCAGGCCATTTTTTGCGATAGTTAAAGTTGAGTTAGTTTAACTGACAATTGAGCGGTCATGCAACACTGTACATAAATTAAATGTATATGTCCTTTTTTCCCACAAATAGACCTTTCTTTTGGTGGTATTTGATCGCCTATGAGGATTTACTTTTTGCACTATTAACAAAAAAGACTGACAGGATGTCTCTTTGCTGGACAGAGATGTCTCTTTGCTGGATGGGGATGTCCCTCCTTGGAATGGACTCTTTCCTGGATTGGGATGTCTCTTTGCTGGACCCAGCTGAGCAAAGAGACATCCCCATCCAGCAAATAGACAGCACAATCCAGCAAAGACACAGCCCATCCAGCAAAGACACAGCCCGTCCAGCAAAGACACAGCCCATCCAGCAAAGGGACAGCCCAATCCACTCCCACTACAGAGCTGTCACAGTGTGCCAGCTGGTGAAAGAGAGGCCGCTGTTGTCCCTTCACTGCAGCTGTGTGTGCAGTGGCTGGCCGAGCCAGCTCACTCCTGTCGGCCCTGCTTTGGGCATAGCCACACAGTGGGAGGTAAGCAGCGACCGCAGTCACTATTAGTCCAGTCCAGATTGCGGCCGCCGCTTACCTTCTACTGTGCGGCCTGGTCATCAACAGGCCGCTCATCTTAAGCCCCAGGCCACTGAGCAAATGCCCGGTGTGCCCTATGGCCAGCCCGGGCCTGCTCCTGACCTCCCTGTACTGTGTCCATTGACACCCCTGTACTGTGCCCTGCTGACATCCCATACACTGCACTTCTAACCCCATGTCCTCAGCTATACTAACCCCTGTCCTCTGCCTTACTGACTCCCTGCCCTGCTAAGCCCTTGTCCTGTTCACCCCTGTCCGCTGCCCTACTGATTCCTGTAAACTGCTGTTCATACTACTGACCTCTGCATATGTTTTAGGTTGTATTATACAATTAGTTTAGGATTGCCGGATAAATAGTGATCATGAATTACAAACTTTTTAAACTTTTACTTGTTAGGCTCCATGTACACGGGGCGTTTGGAAAACACTTCTGAACGATTGAAACTGACTGCTGGAAAACGTATGTTAAAAAAACATCTGTTTAGCTGCGTTTGCATACCACGTTTAGAAGCGTTTTTTAAAGATAACCTCAGGGGACCTTCCAAAATGCCCAGAATGCAGTGAGAAACAGTAAGAAATTATTTCAGACATTTTGAGAGTAATAGAGAGAGCAGAAGCAGAGAGAGCAGTATGTGTTGAGATTATGGTGTTTGGATGTGTTCCAGCTCATTTCTGTGCAGAAATTATTGCAGCAATGTCTAACATATTTTCTTTCATGCGAAACCTCAAAGTATGGTGTACCAGGTCCATTTGAGCACCAGGAAAACGCTTTGCAGGCATTTTTCATGATGAAAAAAAGGCTCTGGACAGCATCTGGAAATGGAAGAGTTAAAAAAATTTCCAAATGCAAACACTTATAAATACGGTTAGCTGTGTTTACAAGCTTTTGAAACGCTGATAAAATCTACTTTTTTTTTTTAAGTTCGCAAACGTGCAAACTACAACGAAAAAAAAACCCGTAAGTGATCACAAAAAATGTGCAAGTGCGAACACCACACGAAAAAAGTGCACTTAGGGGTGTGTTTGTCCTACCCCCGGAAGGGTTGGACCGTTACCCTGATCCCCTGGGGCACGAAGCTCCTGACAGGGACAAGGTTCCCATTTGGTCCTCCTGGCCAAAAGGCCTGGTGGACCACCGTTCCTTATGCCCAGCCGAAGCCGGACATCCAGTACTAGGCAAGGGGGCTCTCCCGAAGAGAAAGCCCCCTAGGGATCAGGGGAGGAAGGAACCAAAAGGCCACACATCCTCCCCCTAGACTTCAGGGTAGGCCCGAGGACCCACACCCTCCATCCGTGAAAAACACACACATAAGTAAAGTAAAAAGTGACAAAATGTGGGAGTGCATAATAAATAAGGTAATAAAGTAAAGAAAAAATAAAAAAGTGGTACCGTGCCGAATTGTGCACAGACCAGGCCCGTAGCAAAAATTGCCCTGGACCAGCCAAAAGACCTGGTCCTTAGGGCGCTGTGCAAAAAGAGGTGAAAAACAGTGGCCATGTGTCATCTTCACACCGTGGGGTCCCACACCCAAGTGTTACTAGTGACACCCCTGAGAGCGTCTTCCCCAGGGGGCACTGAGTTTGCGGACTTTTTGCGTCCCCAGCCCCTGGCCAGACCAAGGTAGATCCGTCCAAATCAGGAGGTACTGGGTCTTTCCAGTCTTCCCAGAGGAATTACTCCCAAGGCCCCAGAACGAATCATGGCGCTCCCTGGTTTCTGTCCCTCGGTACTAGCCTTCCGGACCCCCATCATACCAGTGAGGGTACTATACAACAACCATCCCCGCAAAGCTAGAATGGTCGGGAGCACCCCCACTGGACACTGATAAGAACAGATACTACACTTGATCTTAGCCAAAAGGCCGAGAAGCGATAACATCTAAAATCTACTCCTGAATGCAAGTTTGACCCGGTCAAAAGAAAAGACTGTAAACTCAACTGCTTGTAAATGACTGTGTACATGGACACATAGGAAAACATTAGGGAGAGTTCAGGGGCTGCTGAAAATGCAGAAAAGCTCCTAAATGTGAGTTTATCAGCTGCAGTGTACATGGAGCCTTATACTTTAGTTGTCAGATACGTTTCTGTATTGGTGTTAAAAAAATCTGTGCATCTATTTTGATCAAAACTACCTTTAAAAAGTTATATATATAAAATTGTGAGTATCAGTTGGCCTGTGTCCAGAATCAATATGCTAATTTATGGCATGCATGAAGTAGTACAGCTGGCGTATTATTGCTGTTATGTATGGACTAATGACAGGTTCTCTTTATATGCAGTACTATACAAGGATCAAAAGAAAGCTGAAAACTACAAATTTTTAAAATAGAAAAAAGGCTGTTTGAATAAATTATACCATTTGAGATGAGTAGGAATACCCTATTGAATGCAAGTAAGGAAAGCATTACATTTGTCCTGACTTATAATAAATCTGGTATTGATTTGAAAGGATACATATTCCTGACTCACAGTTTACTTACTAATCTGGCAACACTGTTTGCATAGAGGGCTGTTTCTAGAGAACAAGGTGGCGTTGTGTATTGTGTGCGTAGAGGTGTGCACCTGCAAAGGCTCTGACCTTGGTTGTGTCCTTGGGGACATTGAGAAATTCTCCTGAGTGTCACTGTTTCTACATCATTACATAAGCAAACTGGATTTTACCACCTATTGCCAGCACTTAAAACAACCCTAGCAGAGATGGCAGGAAATGGAATTAACACCTCAACCTGTGTTTCCAAATGTATTAATCACTACAATAGAAGAATGTGGAATGAAATAGGTATACAATATAATGTTCTTCTCATTTTCCAAAAAGTACCATGAAAAAATATGGTTTTCGCCATTTTGCATTTTTTCCAACATTCCTCAGGCCTTTTAACTACTTGCCGACCGCAGATAGCCGAAATAACGGCTGCACTGCGGCCGGCCAGTTCTGGGTGGACGTCATATAACGTCCACCCAGAACGCCATCTCCTGCGCGCCCCCCGGGGGCACGCACCCGGCGATCTCATCCCGGACACAGCTGATCACGTGATGTGGTAAAAGGCCAATCACAGCAGCCTTTTACCACGTGATCAGCTGTGTCCAATGACACACTGATCACCGGAAAATGCAAATGCCGGTTCTCGGCTGCACTTTCCTCACGCTGTCAGATCATGAGGAAAGTACTGCCGAAAACTGGCAGTTGTCAGAGCGGGGATCGGCACCGATCATCAGGGTCACTGATCATCAGTGCCCTGATGATCGGTGCCCAGCAGTGCCACACACAAGTTCCGCCCACCTGTGCCCAGCAGTGCGCCCACCTGTGCGCAGCAGTGCAGCCCAGCAGTGCTGCCAGTGCAGCCCAGCGGTTGTGCAGTGCTGCCATGTCAGTGCCACCAGCAGTTGTCTATCAGTACCCATTATCAGTGCCCAGCGTGTTGTGCCGTCAGTCAGTGCCGCCATCAGTGATGTCAGTCAGTGCCACCTATCAGTGCTGTCTATCAGTACCCATTATCAGTGCCGCCTATCCGTGCCGCATATCAGTGCCGCCTATCCGTGCCACCTCATCAGTGCCGCCTATCCGTGCCGCCGCCCATCAGTGCCGCCTATCAGTAGCCATCAGTGCCGCCTATCAGTGCTGCCTCATCAACGCACATCAGTGAAGGAGAAAAATTACCTGTTTGAAAAATTTTATAATAGAAACAAACTTTTTTTTTTTTTTCAAATTTTTTTGCACTTTTTTTGCTTATAGCACAAAAAGTAAAGTGCCCAGCAGCGATTAAATACCACCAAAAGAAAGCTCTACTTGTGAGAAAAAAATGATAAAAATTTCATATGGGTACAATCTTGCATGACCGCGGGGGTATAAGTGCCCGGTAGGCAAGTGGTTTAAAGTGACTAAGCAGCACATGGAATACTCTATATAAAACTTTAAAAGTTAAAGATATCAGAATTCAACATTTATTTGGAGTTCTAATGAAGTTTTGCTAACTTGAGTTGTGAGCTTCAGGTTTCTGAATCTCATGCTTCTATAAGGACTCTCTTGGTTGGTCCATTCCAAAGTGATATTTTACTTATAAATGGGTGTCACCCTGGACTCCCACCTGGGTGTCACCCTGGACTCCCACCTCTCCTTCCTACCCCACATCCAACTGCTATCTAGATCATGCAGGCTCCACCTCTGCAACATCTCCAAGATACGCACATTCCTCACCCCAGACACCACCAAACAACTCGTACACTCCCTCATCATCTCACGCCTGGACTATTGCAATTCCCTTCTCACTGGCCTACCCAAACGAACGCTATCCCCACTCCAGTTGATCCTAAACTCAACGGCTAGACTCATCCACCTCACCAACCGCTCCACATCTGCCTCCCCCCTCTGCCAATCCCTTCATTGGCTCCCGATTGCCCAACGCATCAAGTTCAAGCTGCTAACTCTGACCTACAAAGCCATTCACAATGCCGCCCGAACTACATAACTGACCTGATACCCAGATACTACCCTACCCGTGCCCTCCACTCCTCACAGGACCTCCTGCTCTCTAGCTCCCTGGTCTCCTCCGGAAGCCCGATTGCAGGACTTCTCCAGGACTTCCCCCATCCTCTGGAACTCCCTACCCCAATCCATCAGACTGTCACCTACCCTCCTCACCTTCAGGCACACCCTGAAAACCCTCCTCTTCAGGGAAGCCTACCCCAACCTCACCTAACACCCGACCTCACCTAACAACTAACCTCCTCCACTCCTCCCACCACTCCATCCCCCACAGCCATCTCCTCCTGTGCCACCTTCCCCTCCCTCCTAGATTGTAAGCTCGAAAGAGCAGGGCCCTCGAACCCCTCGTGTAGTGTATTGTTACTGTCTTGTCTCATGTTCTGTCCCCCTTGCTACTGTACAGCGCTGAGCATACCCTTTGGTGCTATATAAATACTGTATAATAATAATAAATGCTATCAGGCAAGCTAGTAGTAAGGGTAGTCCATTGACAACATCCCCCTTCCCTAGTTCCTGTCTGTTTCTGCCTACCTTGGAGGTTTTGGTGTTCCCATCTACCTTCCTTGTTTCTTTGTTACATTCTCAGTTGCCTGAAATAGAAATCCAGCATTGGTATCACTGAGTGCAATGAAACCCCCCAGCATTGGTGTCAGTGACCACAATAATAATCCCAACATCGGTTTCCGTGGATACAATAATAGCCCCTAGAATTTGCGTCATTGGATGCAATAGAAATCCTCAACAATGGTGTTAGTGGACGCAATATACAACGGGTATTAGTTGATGCAATAATTTACCCCTCGCAGTACTGTCAGAGGACAAAATATTTAACCCCCAGCATTGATGTCAGAGGAAGTAATAATTTCCCCTAGCACTGGTGTCAGTACTATTAACCCCCACTGTCAGTGACATTTTGTGATTACTGGCAGTGAAATTTATTCCCCCCTTTGGTGAAAAGTGATGATGAAAGTTAAAGTGACACCAGACATTTAAAACCTATATATTCTACTCAAGTATGGATTCTTAATCACTTACCGACCATGCTATAGCCGAATGATGTCTACAGTGTGGTTGTCCAGTTCTGGGAGGGCGTCATATGACATCCTCCCAGAATCTGCCCCCAGTGGTGCGCACCTGGCGCTCTCTGTGATCGCTGTGTCCTACAGACACAGCTTATCACATGACAAGGTAAAAGGCCAATCACAGCGGCCTTTTACCACATGATCAGCTGTGTCCAATGACACAGCAGATCACTGGGTAAATACAGTTGCCGGTTATCAGCAGCACTTTCCTCACACTGTCACAGCGTGAGGAAAGTACTGCCAATGACTGGCAAATGACACAGAGGACATCTGTACTGATCATCAGGGAACTGATGATCAGGGAACTGATGATCAGTGCCCAGCAGTACCGCCCAGTTGTGCCACCCACCAGTGCCCATCAGTGCCTCCCACCAGTGCCATCTAGCAGTTGCGCCCATCAGTGCCACTAGTCAGTGCCATCAGTCAGTTCTGCTAGTCAGTGCCGCCAGTCAGCACCAACCATCAGTGCCAACTATCAGTGCCCATCATTGCTGCATATCAGTACAGCATCATCAGTGCCTAATCAATGCCCACCAGTGCCACCTCATCAATGCAGCCTATCAGTGCTGCCTATCCGTGCCACCTCATCAGTGCTGCCCATCAGTGCCCATCATTGCTGCATATCAGTACAGCATCATCAGTGCCTCATCAATGCCTACCAGTGCCACCTCATCAATGCAGCCCATCACTGCTGCCTATCAGTGCCCATCATTGCTGCATATCAGTACAGCATCATCAGTGCCTCATCAATGCCCACCAGTGCCACCTCATCAATGCAGCCTATCAGTGCTGCCTATCCGTGCCACCTCATCAGTGCTGCCTATCAGTGCAGCCTCATCAACGCACATCAGTGCAGAAGAAAAATTATCTGTTTGCAAAATGTTATAATAGACACAAAGAAAAACTTTTTTTTAAATTTTTTGCTCTATTTTTGTTTATAGCACAAAAAATAAAAACCCCAGTGGTGATTAAAAACCACTAAAAGAAAGCTCTATTTGTGTGAAATAATGATAAAAATTTCATATGGGTACAATGTTACATGACTGCGCAATTGTCATTCAAAGTGCGTCAGCGCTGAAAGCTGAAAAGTCTCCTGGGCACGAAGGGGGTAAAAGTGAAAGGTAGGCAAGTGGTTAATTCAGAAGTGTCCCTTCTATTGGTCACAGTCTCCTCTACATATCAAAATTGCTTTCTTTTGCTGCTGTGTTCTGACTTCCTGTTAGAGGGTGGATACATTTGTTCTCCATGGTCCCACAGTATTTTGGAACATAGCCTCCCTCTCTTGCTTGTTCCTGAGATGGACTATGACTACGGGATGTACAGTATAGTATGCACTCAGCAGTGCACATGACTGCAGCTAACATGCACGACTCATTCCAAACATATGGAAGTGAGAGGGAAACAGAGAGGTTTGGGAGCTCACAGATCTTATAAGGAGGCAGAAAAACATAGTAAGAAACAGTTTCATGAAAAATAGATTAAAGAGCCATTAAGCAGTATTGTAGAAATGTATAATTATTTTTTTTTAAATATGGATATTGTTTAGTGTCACTTTAATCCTCCCATTCTCCTCTGCGCTGGTGGTTGTGTCTCAGCTTGCACCGCAAAGGTATCGGTAATTGGTATCAGCGAGTGCTTGAGCACAAGTATCAGTACTCATACTTTCCGAAAAAAACCCATCATCGTATGCAACCCTAACACAGGCCAATCAAAACTGCAGAGATCGATGTAATGGGCATTGGGCACGTGAACAGCTGTATGTGGCAGCCATTTTTTCCAGGTCCCTGGTCACTGAGGCCATTTTGTCAGAAGGGAGTCATGGCCAAAAGTACTGGCACCCCTGCATTTCTGTCAGATAATGCACCACTTCACCCAGAAAATTGTTTCAATTACAAATGTTTAGGCATTCTCATGTTTATTTAGTTTGTTTGTATTGGTATAACATAAAAACGTGGAGAAACAAAAAGCCAAATCTGACACATTCCACCCAACACTCCAAAAATTGACTGGACAAAATTATTGACACCCGCAGTTTAATATTTGGTAGCACACCCCTTGGAAAAAATAACTGAAATCAATGGCTTCCTGTAGCCATCAATGAGTTTCTTCCACCTCTCTACTGAACTTTTGGACCACTCTTCTTTCTCCAACTGCTCCAGGTCTCTCTCACTTTGGAAGTGTACCTTTTCCCCAACTGCTGTTTTGAGATCTCTCCACAGGCGCTCTATGGGATTTAGATCTGGACTTATTGCTGACCAGTTCTGTACTCTCCAGCGCTTTGTCTGAAACCTTTTCTGGGGGCCTTTTGACGTGTGCTTTGGGTCATTGTCCTGCTGTAAGATCCCTGACGGAAACCCAACTTGCTGACACTGGGCCCTATATTGCACCCCAGAATTCTTTGGTAGTCTTCAGCTTTCATAATGCCATGCACAAAGTCAAGACATCCAGTGCCTGAAGCAGCAAAGCAACTGCAAAACATCAGTGAACCTCCACCATATTTGTCTGTAGGGACTGTATTCTTTTCTTTAAAGTCCTTAATGCTTTTTCTGAAAACAGTAGAATGATGGGCTTTACCAAAAAGCTGTAATTATGTTTCGTCTGTCCACAGCACATTCTCCCAAAAGGATTTTCGCTTTCTCAGGTAAGTTTTGGCAAACTCCAATCTGGCTTTTTATGTTTCTGTGTCAGCAATGGGGTCCTCCTGGGTCTCCTACCATAGCGTTCCTTTTCATTCAGA